ATCTCGTACGGAAAACACTCAACATTCGTGCACCGAATTGTGAACTGTGCGGTCTGGCATGAAAGGGTGGAAGCAAACAGTGAGCGTTCATCAGATGGTCTTATTAGGCAGGGTCGGCAAGATACTGTAAACATCTGGGTTGTTTTGTTGTGGAAAAACACAATATTGGACAAATTGTCGTTTCTAGTATTTATCGATGTAAGACCGACCTTCGAGACAATGTACAACTAGTCGCGGTGTTAGCCAGTTGTGCAGCTGAGGTCAGATTGCCACGCTATTGTTAGGAGTTTATAAGATCTGACCGCACAGCGGAAACGGAATAACCGTGATTTTCATGAATGATGGTAGGCTACGTGCGCTGGCAGCCTGTTGTGAATTGGCTAAGATTTCTAATCCACCAGCGCGTGCAGCACGCATTTGCCTTTCATCCGATTTTGAGAATGCGAGGCATTTTGGAATTGAAATTAGGCATATTTTTGTGTCTTGCAATGCATATTTTCAATTACCTGCTCGTCCCACCTACGTAGGTGGTAGTGGTGTCATTTTCTCATCCATTAAGGTTTGTATCCTTCAAATTCACCCCAAATTACATGTGTTTGTTGGGGCGTGTCCAATCTAACGGAGTTTCTAATGTCGAATATTTCATCAACCGTCGAAAGCTGCATAATATGATTACTATTCTTTCCTCTAGGAGACAGTTAAAAGCAGCATTGTAGGGTGGGAGAAACTAGTCACTAGGATTTTGAAGATGTTAGTGACGATAAATAGCACGTATAAATTTTTGCTTTGGTTAACCCGTCCATTTTTCACCGATGAACACTTTTACTTCACTGCATTTAAAGCCCGGTTTAACGCAAATGTTATCGGAATCCATACGCGCGACCGTCAACAACACGAAACAGAGCACTACCGTATTCTAGGCCGTCATGAAGTAAAACGATATATCTGAGTGATTAAAAATGCACAGCGCCGATAGCGATGCAGGTCTAGAATTGATGTATCCGAACGAGATGGACCCTAAAAACCTTACTGAACATTGCTGAGTTCACATACTTTAGGTTGGCTAATACATGAAGTACAAAGCTGAACTGGTACATATTAAGACCGTTGGTGCTTGTTCGAAACAGCTTTTCTGGGAATACTAGTAGTTGAACCGTGGTATCACTTGGAGATACTTTATGTTATCCTGCAACAATTAATCATCAAATAATAAGTTTCCAAAGATGTAAACAAAGTTTGAATTGGGGGAGATATTGGTAAAGGAAAGAGTGCATTTCTTGGCGGAGCGATTCACTGGCCAAAACGGATACAAGCTAAATAAAGACTTCAATTCGGAAAAAAATTAGCATCATCGGGCGTCCTGCTAAGCTTTCCTAGACATTGTCTGAATACAAGACACCAACGAACAAATGCTGCAAAACGGTTAAATGCTTCCTACATCGAAATTCCAACAGCTTCAGGGATGGGGTTTTAACTCTGGACCAGATACCAATCGCAAGTTTCATCAGTAGTAAACACTATTCCATTAGTAACTCAGTTCGTTAGCCGTTGGTGTGTTCGATGAGATGAACAAGGGGGTGCAGACATTCCGTTACCAGTCGCGATTGCATCATCAGTGCCTTGTGAGTTTGGATGACCCTAAAGCACTTCATGCACACATAAACCAAGCGCTTCCACCCTTTAAATTTTCAACGAACCAAGGAACGCAAACAACATTTCCACATTACCTGTGTTACACACTTTTCAGTAGGTTTAAAGTTACCATTAGCACTGTCTTGAGTCCAGAAACGTTATAAGCCCACTGTGATGCAATTCAACTACTATTTTCTTTTAAACAACCTACTCACACATGAGTTCTCACCCAAGAATATGTGATGTGAAGCAAGATTTGATAATCAACAACGAAATGACAATACCATGGTTGATTTCTACCTTAAACGAAATCATTTGGCTTTCTGTGCTGAGGACGCTACTGTAGTTCACCGACGTGAATTGCATTCATTGTGGAGGGTGTCCTTTCCTACGTGCTCCATGTTTTATGACATTAAATAGAAAACAACTTTGGTTTTGATGACTAGGATGATTTGTAATGCCATCTCTGTTTCAGAAAAGCTCACCAGTTTGGTGGCCGCCACTGGCCATCAACCATCGATAATAAGCTGATGGGTTCGATTTTCTAGACTTATCTTGTTGACAACAGGGAATAATATCGTTTTTACTGAAATAAAGGGGCGGATGCAAATGAAATGAACAAAACGATTTCTGACAAAAATGCCTCATAGGGTTTTCTCTCTCTTTCAAGAGTGACACTGAATGTCTCCAAGGGAGAATGCTATCGCTGCATGGAAAGCAACACTGCGCAATAAGGCCGAAATTAAAAGCCAGGTGCGAATAAAATTATATTTTGCGTCAGACAGTTTCGGAATGCTAAGGGACGCGGGAATCATATCAGTAGGCAAAACACAATAATGCTGCTCACGGAGCTCAGTTTTCAATGTATCTACTGAAAATAATCGAAGTTTCTCATACTTTATGACCAAAACCCTTTTGAACCTAACACGAAGGGCCGAGTCCAGACATTCACTGAGAACAATTCTACTTGGTAAGCTCAGAAGACAAGTAGGTTTCATTAGGAAGGCAATTAAAGATGTGACTAAAATAAGAGAATTTTTCGCACTACTGCAAGCTCTTGGCAACCTCAACTCATGTCACTTCAACCAAATGTATCTGAGAATCAAACTGGACTACACGCACAAACTTAACTATTTTGACAAATAGGAAATCAATTCTTGAATACTGTTACAGAATGGAACGAGATGCATTGTTTTCCTCTTTGATCTCACGGAGTGAATATAAAGCTTGTCGCAGACATGTTTTTACAGCTCCCAGACTAGATAATGTCATGCGGAAGCGGAAACAAGATATGTTCGGAACCTTTCAGTCTCATACTGCTAGTTTACCTTGGAGACTGTGTGGATTCTTTAAGGAAAAAACATGGCAATTTTACTGAACTGCACATAATCTGGAGGCTCACTGTGTTCAAAAATATTTTCGAATGTTGTTTTATGAGAACTTGAACCAAGGTAACCAAGGTGCGTATTTTGGTCTATGAGTACCGTTGACTGAACAAAAGCACCAATATAAAATGGTCTAACGAAGCTTCATAATGCCCAGGTACTAGTCAGATTCGTAAAAGTTACACGAGTCAACTTGGGAAAAACCTGCTTTGCGCAAAAAAATTACGCAAATTTTTTTTGCCTAATTAACTGCTTGGACGACGTTGGGTTTTGTCACAAGAAGTTGTCTATCTGAGAAGTTCTGCAAAAACGAAACACACCGAATGATATGTAGCATAAAGTAAAAGCTTCATTCTGGAAATGTGTAGTGATATTCTACCGCACAGGTCTTGACTGGGGGTAGACTTGCGTATTGTTCAGTTTGTCTCAACATATTGCGGATTGGAAGCCATTATCGAACCGAACTATTTACCATGATTAAGGGCGTTTCTTGTGAGCCTAAGGGACTTGATAATCAATAGTTGACACCAGATAGCTAACTTACACGAAAGAATAAACACAGCGATTAGCGTGTATCAAGAAGAACGTGGTAAAATTCGGGAAAAACGTATTGAAATTGTCAGCAATAAAATTGGGCACAGACCAACAGATAATCGTTATCTATTGAACATACTAACAATCATCAATAACGGTCAATGTGTACCATAAAATAACTGTTCCTTACCCATCTGATTCAGTTCATGTTAGACAAATAAAATGCACAGTTTTGTGACCAAATGCGGCCCTACGATCAGTGACTGAACCAACAGGTTGAGCGCAACTACAAAATGGTTTACGGGCCAGGTAATTGTTTGCCGGAACTTGATTGAAGATGGAAAGCTAGCCTAATAACGGTCACTTCCAATAATTCAATAACATACGTAATTTGTAATAGCTAACACGAAAATCCGAAAGAAGATGTGACCGAAAACAGCTGTATCCCGCACACATGTCTGTTTGTTCGATGAAAACGATCTCTTGATTTCACATGCCACTAGTTGCCTACATAACTAAAGCATACTGCTACCTGCAGTATTCTCGCCCGCGTCATTTATCGTTTCGGAAGTATTAACTCCGACCTTCTCGTGTACAAGAATTAAAAAAAGTTTTCTGGTGTGTTCTCTACTCGGTCCGTTTTATTTGTTCGTCCGGACCGACTGAGTTATGAGCTTGGTCTGTGACGTAAAAATAAGAGTCAAACATTCTCCACACAGGTAAACCGGACATTGCTTTTCAAACACTTTTATGGAACGTAATTCATAACTATTCCCGTACAAATGCAGGATTAATACAGCTTCTTCCGGTTGTGCTTTATCTGGTACTAGAGATGACGCAAAAGCTACTGTAGCGGTAATGCGAGTCTGTTGTAGGTAGTTGCAAGTGTTGTACAATTTGCATTCAAATCGCTCTCACGTGAACAGTCCTTTCCTGTCCTTGTCTAGTTATTCTGGTTCAACCAAATCAATGCACTAGTGCATTGGACCAGACTTTCGCTCCTATAAAAATCCCATCGTTCAGATGGACTGTGGGAGCAGCAGTGACCAATCACTCTCAGATGTTCATGAGTGCGCATCTGAAGTTTGGTATTTTGATGGGATTTAGAAATGGCAAAGTTTTGATCCAGTTGCTCTAGGCCAATATGTGGACCGGTTTAGATACTTGCTACGAAGCAGAAGGAGGACTGTCCAGGTCAGACAGATAAGGTGTGAAGTTAAAGCTACTCTATATATTTGTAATGCACTACTCATAAGTTTGCTGATTATCGGTCGACAGCCCACGACCGGTTTAGCTCCTCTTTGGGCTGACGGAAACTCAAGGACTGCGCCTAACTGATGAGCCCCAAAAAGGGCGAAACCGGTCTAGGGCTGTCGGCAGATTTTCAGCAAACTTGGGAGTAATGCATTACAAATATATACATGTATCTCGTTATCTTGAATATCGTAGCGACTGAAACATAAGGCCACCTGGTGCAGCACATTCAGTTGCCTAGAAACATCACAAACGAGAGATTCAGCTGGGTTCCAGGGGAGTCTCTTGAAAAACCAAATTAGTTTGCAAATGAGTGTATTTCGCTTAAGGCTACTCTCTCCGTTTATGGGCAATCTGTTTGACATTATCGGTTAATTTTATTCCTCCATAAAATGCTACTGTTAAGGACCACCAACCAAGAATGCTCCCTAGAAGTCCTACCCACCGACTTCCGTATGAAAAATTACCCTCAAAAAGAGATCAGATTTGTCTGACGCTCCAGTCTAGGGCTGTCGGCAGATTTTCAGCAAACTTGGGAGTAATGCATTACAAATATATACATGTATCTCGTTATCTTGAATATCGTAGCGACTGAAACATAAGGCCGCCTGGTGCAGCACATTCAGTTGCCTAGAAACATCACAAACGAGAGATTCAGCTGGGTTCCAGGGGAGTCTCTCGAAAAACCAAATTAGTTTGCAAAAAGAACACAGTGACGAACATTAATGTTTTTGGGTTCTCGTCGTCAGGTCAGTACATATCTAATGGTTAAAATAGGAGCGAAAAATTAAATACGCTGCGAAGATAGGTTAGTGAAATGCAAAACGCAGAGACACGTGTCCCCACCCATATCGCAACTAGTGAGATGCTGTGAGACAGTCAAGAGAGCTGTTGAGTGACTTGGCGGGTTGATTCGTGTCACACGACCAAGGCAGACTCATCGTTCGTACGAAACGTTTTTGACAGCACAGTACTGGGTTTCCCAGGCGTGTAGCGAGTGCTTCGGCTGTAGTCAAGTAACGCCGTTGAATAGGTACTGAGAGTCTATTTGGCACACGGTAAATGACTTGAAATGACTCATTTGGCATGTCTACGTGCGCGCTGTCAGAGAGGTGGGATGCAATTAAGCTCCTGGCTAAACTGTTGAGATTAGTGGTATTCCGGCAAGAGAGGTGCTCGCGTATTCTCTTAGAAAGTTGCCGTGTCAGGCACCCAACATACTCCGCTGAACAACAGCAGGAGAAAGAATACACAACCATATTCTGGATGAGGGCTGGCATCTTGTCTTTGAGGTTTGAGTTGAGTAAAGAGTTTGTTGTAAACCAAGACCGCATAGTTCCAGTTGGAAACGTGCATTTTAGGAACTGAAACAAGCGGCGATTGACTATGTCCGCCAGCTGATCGCCTTTATACGGTGAGCTCAAGTATATTTGCTTCTTTGCGACGGTCGTGATAGGTGGTTGGGTAAGGCGGTCACACATATTCTTGGTTATAAATCTCTCCGGGTAACCATTGGCTCGGAGCACATTAGCAATATGCTGCTTTTCGGAGTCCACTGTATCAGCTCGGTTCGTTAAAGTTTGAGTCAGGGTTCGTTTCCGTCTCAGTGGCATGTGTATTTCGCTAACACTGGGAAGGCAGATAAAACCTTATCCCCTGAAGGGCTTGGTAACATTTTATTGCCCACTGTTGAGTGCGCCACAAACGCTGCAAAATACCAGGCACTTCGTCCAAGAACCATACATTCCTAACAGCAGGAATATTCAGGGCTCTTTCTCAAACTACTGGCGGATTCTATAAATTGTGCATGTGATGCTTCAAACAGGTTACTTAAAATATTATTCGGCATTATTCACCTTCTTTCGAATCTGGAACTGATGCTCGTCCGCGAGTATGTAGCTAGATGAGTGCCACTCATTTCCACCCTTATTAACCAAATGCTCTAAAGAGACCAAGGGTGGTATTTTACCCATACGAAGTTGGCATGCAATCCAAATGATGAATGTACTGCCAAAATGTTTGGGCTGCAAACAGGGAACTACTGAATTTGAGGATTCTTTTGAACCAAAACGTCAACTTGTATCTCCTTGTGGCTTAATTGTGGACCTATATCAGATCGTATTAGCAATTTAATCCAACAAATTGGTCGGAATGTTAACAGCTTTGAGAAAGCTTCCTGAATTGTTAGTTTCTGGGCTGTCAAACCCGCTATCATGATCTGTTTAAAATGTTCCCGATTCGGTTCAAATAATTCGGACTTTGCCTTTATTTGTTTGCCCTCAAAATGCAAGGTAACCGTCAGACTCTCACGTATCAGCTGTTGAAAAGGAAAGAAGGCATAAGAAGTCTAATGACTGTGCTTATCCACAGGCTAATCTCCAGTCATGTTGAAAGTTTGTAAACTTGTACTTTAGTTGACTAATGTTTGAGTTCTTAGGTGAAGAAGCTCACAAATACCAAATAATATTACTGACGTAACACAATGGGTTGTGTCTGATTGTGTTTTTACCCAGCTAAAAGTCAGCCAAACCTGAGCAGGCTAAATTAATTAATGAACTGCCCGGTCGATTCACCAAAGCATTTGAACTTCCCAAAATAAGTATCATCTAGAGTGGTTCTATTTGGCACCATCGCAGTAGCTTAAGCGGAAAATTTCCCAAACTGTTTTCAATCTTGTAGCATCTCTTCTCTTTAGAACAAATACATTTGGATCTGCTGAGCTGGCGCCTGAATTTCTGCCTACTGAAAGCTTCCATTACGGAAAAACAGACAGAGTATTAGCAAAGCCATATTAGCGGCAGTGAGATATAGAGCATCTCTGAATCCAGGCGAATGCATGTGTTCTCCTCACAAAACTGGCATGAACACTAATTCCACAGTTTTTGGAACTGCATACAACTGTTAGTAAAGTTGCGTCCCTACAACTCTTCTTTCGACAGGCGTCTTTCTCCTAGCTCTAACAAGAAGTAAACTCCAAATCAGTTCTCACCACTTTAGTGTGCACTCGTCGTAAAATTTTGCAAGGACGACGAAAGGACCGTTCAGATGATTTAATGTAAACGCAAACTCTATAAATCATGTAACCGCCTGCGACCAACAGGGAATTGTCCAGCGGTTATCAGTCATTCTTTTTGAGTGGGTAATTCTGACAGGTGGGTCAACTGATCCACAAACCGGGGGAGTTATTGGGTTGTAATCCGATTCCGGGCACGTTCGTCTCTTGTGACCTGATTATTTATGTGCGTCCAGCGAAAGCTAATAGAAGTAGTAGCTTCACCGTTCAGATGCTCAAAGCATAAACAACGGTAACACCGGAAGCATACACTGCTAAATAGCTCCCGTAAGAGCGAAACTCGGATTCTACTCGTCTTCTGCCTGATACCGGCAGAAAGCTGACAGAAAATAAGCAGTGTTTTACACCTGGTTGCACACAGAGAGGATTTTAACATGCGTTATCGGAGAGTGTTGTAATAAAGCCTTGCATTTCTCATTTTATTCAAAAAACACTCGGATTATTACTAGATTTTCTACAAGGTAAATATGTATAACAATCCGGGAGACATTGTTTTCCTTTTAATACGTTCATGATTTCCTGGCTGAAAATACTACTCATAGAGTTGCTGAAAATTTTCGACCACCCACTGCCATTTTCTCTCTTCCTACAGCTCATCAACTAGTTAACTTTGTTTGAGGGCACTGGTTAATTAGTGAAAACAGAAATTTTGAAATAACGGCTGAGTTCTTGCCATTTTATTCTTTAGAATTCTGGCGTTGTTGAAGTTTACTACAAACCGGATATCTGGAAGCGCATGCCGCCTTTCCACAAAAAGTAGCTGCGGTATGTTTCCCTACCAATTCTAGTTAGAACTTATTTAAGGTGAATTTGCTAACGAAACCAAGTTTACATGCTCGCTAGGGTCATCACTAAGAATCATTTTAGAGTTGCACTCAAGGCTACGCATTTCCCAAATCTTCTGCGCTCTGATTCACCCCCAGCTGTTTAAGCGCGCCAATAAGTACAAGTAAATGTGGAAGTAGGTAATGAAGCATTAATCTTCTCGGTCGTTTAACCGTTCATCTTGGTTTAGCTTCTAAAATGCTACGATGTTTTCCTACCTTTCGCGTCAGGCAAATGAGATGTACATCTTCCTAAAGAAAAGTTTGTCACTGCGCGCTAAAATCCATCTTTCCGAAAATCTTACTTTTTTCCTGCACAGCTTAGTTTACAAAGGTCTTCTGACTTCATTTTTCTATCACTACTTTTACGTGTTAATTTTGTGGCATAACTCACTGGATCTGCAGTTTCCTGTCCATAGCCCTAAGCCAGTTTGGCCTTTATAGGAACTCACACGTGATCCGAAATCTCAGGCGGATAATTGGTCAGCTTGGTGCTCTGTATTTGCTTGCCACAAGTCCGGTGGGGCATAACTTTTGTGAGTCAAACGGTTTAGCAGCACGCTCACTTCCTTTGTATGGAGAGGCCACACAATTCCTCCTGAAGTAACAACCACGCCATCTTCAATTTGACCTCGTATAATGCAAAGTCTAGTGCACTACGGGATTCGCTTTTTTCATCACACCCCGTCTCTCCTTAGGTTTCCTGCATTATTTCCCATAGCACAGTCTTAATTGTTCCTACTGTAAGCCTCTCAAGTTTCCAAGGCTGTTGCTGTGTTTCCTGTATAACCATCATTCCAACTAATGGACTTTCAAGAAACAATAATCCTGATCACGCTTCTAATCACGTTGGCGACCTCTCATGAGAAACGGAAAGCCTACAATCATTTGATGAATTAAATTCAATGATGATTCGTTATAGACTATTTCAGAAGCACAGGTAATTTCAACACCCCCTAGGCTGTGTTTAAGGTGTACTATTAATTTGATTCAAAACATAAGTGACAGTGCTGCTGTTCAACCTTTGCTTCCGAGGTACCGGCGAAATTTAGATGGGGACTGGATAAAAATACTGGCAACTCACTGACAAGCACCAAAGTGACAGATACTGTAAGGAGTTGAAGCCATGTCATGTTGAACACCAAAAAAAAGTTCACCACGTTTATCCAGTATGGATGATCAATTTCCTATCCATGTTTCTAATATTCGTGGAAGATTAACTGTGCAAATACCGTACATCAGTACCTGTAGATTGAAGCCACCTCAACGTCAATACATAACCATCTATCTTGTACAATGACCATAAAATCTCTATTGTTTCTGTCCCAAGAAAGCATAGACATTGAGTGGTCTGTTTTCCTGACTAATGAACTAATACTGCTGGGATAGAGGATACTGTGACTAAACATTCAATATATGCTTGTCTACAGAAACACATCTTTTGTTTTTCAAACCCATTTTTGTGGAATGCTCATGGTATGTCAGAATAACATTTTACGCTCTAAATTACGATAACTCCGAAGACAAACGTTTTGATTGCAGAACACTTTAGAAAAGTGCTTTTAACGTAATAAAGCCTTATCACAATTTCAAGTACACTTTTATTGACCTAAACCTTTTTTCTTTAGTAACTTCAGTTAAACAGGAAGCGAAATTTATTTTACAAACTAGAGAAATAATAATCAGCATGATTTCATGGGTTGCGCAAGATATAGCAAAATCGTTTGAAAGTTATGATTAAGTAAAATTCAAAAACGTCACTAATAAAAGCAAAGCTTCCTACGTACATGCGTGAATATTGGGCATACTTAAAATACCGACGTCAGAAA